CAACAGCCTAGTAGGGATATATGCAAATATGTTCAAACATGACCAAAATTCGATGAAAAAGATGTAGAAGCCTTTTTCATTTCCTTTGAAAACTGTATAAACAGATGAATTGGCCAGAGACTGTGTGGGCAATTTTACTTCAGATCATGTTGGTAGTGAGGTGTTTGCAGTGCTGTCAGATGAGGTGTCAGGAAGTTATGAAGATGTTAAACAGGCTATTTTGAGTGCCTATAAATTGGTACCAGAAGCCAATAGACAACGGTTCCGAAACATAAAGAAGGAACCAAGTCAGAGTTATGTCGAGTTTGAAAGAATTAAACATAGCAACTTTGATAAATGGGTGAGAGCATTAAAGATAGAAAAGACATATGGGTCTGAGAGAGATCATTCTGCCAGATGAATTTAAAAACTCACTTCCAGAGATGATAAGAAATCATATTAAGGAACAGAAAGTTACCAAAGGAAGAAGAACTGCAGAGAAAGTAGGTGAATATGCATAAGTGCATAAATCGAAATTTAGCTTCCAAACAGCAATTTCATTACGTGAGGAATAGAAAATGGGAGAAAGGGAGATTCTTCAATGAAAAACAAAAAGTAGATCACACCGGAAACAGTTTTCACAAGTGATAAAAGAAACCCAAGAGGGTGAAAAGGAGATGAAAGGCCTCAGGCGTTTTCATTGTAATAAGGTGGGACACACAAAGTCACAGTGCTGGTGGCTTAAGAAAGGCACTGGGAAAAAGAATATGGTAAAAGATGCTAAACCAGTGGGATTAGTTGAGGTAGTGAAGGAAATCCCAAAAGGAGTCGAGGAGCTGCAGGAGAGTGTACAGCCTAGTTACAGGCTGGATAGCGAGACAGTGTGCGATCTCTACAAAGACTTCACCTCTGAGGGTAAGGTTTACTCAGGAAGAACATGGGGAGAAGGTAAAGAAGTTGTTATATTGAGAGATATGGGAGCTGGTCAATCTCTAATAGTAAGATATGAAAGCATTTGCACTCCTGAAATATTACCCGAGAGAGCCGTAACCTGTGGAATAGATGGACAGAGATTTAAGTGTTCCCCTATGTAAGATCAGGTTGGAAAGTCAAATCAAGACTGGGGAAGTGAAAGTGGTAGTGATTGAAAGAGTGTCAATTTCAGGAGTACAGTTTGTTCTTGGAAATGACCTGGCAGGAGCAAAAGTGGGAGTGGTGCCCCTTCTAATAGAGAAGCCGAAGGAAAACCAGGGAACTGAGGAGTTAAAAGAAAAATACCGTGGAATTTTTCCAGACTGTGTGGTGACAAGATCCCACAGTCAAAGGTTAAAGCAAAAGGGGAAAACCAAAGAGAAACATGAAGGAGTTGAGGTCCACTTAGCTGACACCCTGTTTGACAAAGTGGTAAAAGAAGAATCTAAACAGGTAGAGGATCAGGCAGAGGTGTTTAGTTCTGTAAGATTACTGGAGTTACAACAAAAAGATGAGATAATAAAAGATCTATATTATAAAGTCTACTTGGAAAAGGAATCAGAATGTATTCCTGAGTGTTATTATCTCAAGGATAGAATCCTAAGGTGAAAATGGAGACCTTGCCAGGTTAGTGCAGAGGAGAAATTGGCAGAAGTGCATCAGATTGTATTGCTGGTCGCATACAGACAGGAGGTGTTATGGTAGCACACAAATTACCGGTAGGAGGTCATTTAGGAATGAGGGAGACTCTGGCTAAAATACAAAAGCACTTCTATTGGCCCGGATTGCATAAGGACGTAGTTGAATTTTGCTGTACTTGTCATACTTGTCAAATGGTAGGAAAGCCACAAGCAGTAATAAAACCAGCACCTTGATGCCAATTCCCGCCTTTGAAGAACCTCTCATGCAGGTAATGGTTGTTTGCCTAGGTCCCGTCCCTAAAATCAAAAGTGGGAACCAGTATTTGCTAACCATAATGGATGTGTCTACCAGGTTTCTGGAGGCAATTCCATTACAGAGTGTCAAGGCAAAGAGGGTTGAAGAAGAGTTGGTTGCTTTCTTTATACGTTATGGCCTACCCAGAGAGATTCAGTCAGACCAAGGGTTCAATTTTACTTCCAAACGATTTAAGGAGATCATGGGTAATTTAGCATTAAACACTTTAAATCAAGTGCATACCATCCTGAATCCCAGGGAGCATTGGCAGGTGGCAATCCTGAATACCATTCTGAATCCCAGGTGGCATCAGACCCTAAAAACCATGTTGGAAGGCTTATTGCCAGGATTATCCAAATGACTGGGATAAAGGTATCCCAGTTATATAGTTTGCCATTAGAGATGCCCCAAATGAATCGACTCAGTTTACTCCATTCGAGTTGATGTTCGGACACAAAGTAAGAGGGCCTTTAAAATCAATTAAGAAAAAGTTGATAGGTCCGAAGTCAGAGATCTCAGAGTTGGATTATGTATCTGAGGTGAGGGAAAGATTAAACAGACTCGGTGAATTAGCTAGACAACATCTGAAGGTGGCACAGCATCTAATGAAGCAAGAAGCAGATAAGAAATCTAGAATTCGGATGTTTGCAGGTGGGGTTAAAGTATTGGGTGATGTTACCAGTGGTACAATATCCCTTCAAAGCAAGATATAGTGGTCCTTATCAGATTGAGAAGAAGTTGAGTCAGGTGAATTATCTGGTAAAGATCCCAGATGGAAAGAAGCTTTATCAGGTATGTCATGTGAATATGTTGAAATCCTACTATAACAGGGACAGGGAACTGGAGAAACAGGTATTAGTTACTATCCCTCAGAGTGAGGAATCAGAATTATAATCATTTGATTTTGATGTGCCTCAAAGTAAGTTAAATAATGAGGAAGTCCTTAGAGAGTAGGATAGAATAGTGAGATATCTGTCTCAGGAACAGAGGACTGAATTGAAAGGTTTGTTGTAGAAATATGAGGACATCTGTGGGAATAGAATAGGAAGGACCAGTACTATAGTGCATGATGTTGAAGTAGGAAATGCTGTTTCAATAGAACAACAATCTGCACAGGTATAGAAGGAAGTGGAAGCGATGCTGCAAGAAGATGTCATCGAACCAAGTCAAAGCGAGTGGAGGTCGCTGATCATCTTGGTTCTAAAGCCTGGTGGTACTTGATGGTTCTGCATGGATTATCGAAAGGTCAATGCCGTAACGGACTGTGCGGAAAAAGTTTGACAAGCCACTTACATCACCAAGTTGGACTTAATTCATGGTTACTGGCAAGTACCTTTGTCAGAGAAAGCGAAAGAAGTTTCTGTGTTTGTAACCCCAAATGAGCTGTATCAATTTAAAGTAATGCCCTTTGGTATGAAGAACACACCAGCCACATTTCAAAGACTTATGAACAAAGTTGTGGCAAGATTGACTAATTGTGCCCTCTGTATAGATGATGACATGATCTTCAGCCATTCATGGAAATATCATGTGTGTATTTGGCAAAGCTCTTTGAAAGAGTACAGGAGGCAAAACTGGTTAAAAACTTAGCAAAAACTGAATTTGCAAAGGCAGAAGTGACATTCTTGGGACATAACATTGGATGTGGAAGGATGACCCTGAGGAACATAAAAACGAAGGCCATCAAGGAATTTCCAAGACCATTCTTGAAGAAAGATTCTTCAATTTTTGGGCCTGAGCAGATTCTACCGGAAGTTTGTGCCGAGCTTTAGTAATGTGGTGGCACCGCTGATGGATTTGCTAAAGAAGAACATGAAATTTTGGTGGACAGAACAGTGTCAGGAGGCATTTGAGAATTTAAAATCCGTATTAACGACCGCATCAGTTTCAGCTACACCAAATTTCTCAAAACCCTTTAAAGTCGCAATCAACACCAGCAATATTGGGGTTGGAGCTGTGTTGATGCAGCAGGATGATGACGGAACCGAGAGGCCAATTAGATATTTTTCAAAGAAACTCAATATTCATCAGAGAAAATACTCTACCATTGAAAAGGAATTATTGAGTTTGGTACTGGCCTTACAACATTTTAATGTTTATGTTACGAACAATATTTCAGCGATGGTTGTGTTTACAGACCACACCACTCTCAACTTTTTGGAAACATTTAAGGATAAAAATATGAGACTATTTCATTGGAGTCTTATGTTACAGGCTTTTAATCTACAAATTGTACATGTTGCTGGTCGTAAAAATGTTATTGTGTTTGCGTTATTGCACGTTTAAAAGAAAATTTGTAGGTAAGATAGAACCGGTACACTCCAATATTATATATATTTAGAATTAGTATGAAAGGTACAATTTTAGAGTACTGAACTATGTATTTCGTGATAATAGTGTTAAGATTTGGGGAAAAAAAGAAGCCATCTTTTCATAATGATAGTTCATTTTTTTTCTTAAGGCGAGAGTTAGTATGAAGTTAGGTAGAAAATTCATGAATTGGAAAGCAGGAAGTTAGAATTTGTTGGTAGGAAGTTAGAATTTGTTGTTAAAAATGATAGTGGGGAAAAGAGTGCCAAAGTTCCTTTAAGAGCTCATGCTTTGTCTGTGCTTGGAAGTTTATAAATGCAGGTGCACAAGGAGTGCCTGAATGGATAGAACAACCAAGCAGCACTTTTCCACGACAACAAGTTTGAATTTGGCCAATTAATTTAAACCAAGCACCTTAATACGGAAAGCCAATTGACTTTAAATCCAATGATGTTGACAACCTGAAACTAATCATATTATAAGAATTTGATTATGTTATTTTGGGTATATAAGACAAGGGAATCAGGAAAATTGGAGAGAGCCATCCACTACCTGCCACAGTTAGCCCCATTCAGCTCTAAGAGAAAGCCCATCTAATTAATCAAATATATTTTAGCTCAAAGTCCCCATTGAAGAAATTATAGAGATAAGACATCCCTGACAGCAGAATTAGTGGAAGAAAGGCATTTGTGAAGAGAGCAGGGATGACAGAATATTCCAGAAGACAGTCTGTGTGAACTTGGAGAGAATAAGTTAGAATTCATTGTTCTCTTATTAATTGGGTTTATTAATTAGGACTTGTGTTTATTGAACAGTATTCAAGTAGAATTTAGACTTAGGAGGTAGTTAGTAGTATAAGGGGGAATTGTCAGTTTGTTAGTAATTCTGTTCATTTGTGGGTTTAATTGTTTCTTGTTACTATAAAGTGGAGATCAGGGATTTTCTTTCTTTTAACCATTCTTTTAATAGTTTGAGGGGAAAGACAAGCTTCTGAGTGTTTCAGGGGTAATTATTAGAGGGGAACCCCTACTCCTGTCATAACAGGTTGGGGCTTGTGTTTTAGTTTAATCATCAGAGGAGTTCAACCTTTTCCCCTCTGTAACAAAGTGTAGAATGAAAGAGAAAATCAGAAGGATCACAGGTGTAGAATGAATTGGATGTTAATTAGGAAAAGGGGGAAGTGAGGGAAACTGGAAATGTTAAAATGACAGAGCGTATCAGCAAAGTCACAGAAATAGGTAAGAATCTAATGGACAAGAGGATAAAAGAATTAGAATTGAAGTAGGAAAAACAATCAGTCAGTAGGAGAGAAAGAGCTGAGAAGATAGATTTCCCAAGGCAGTTCTGTACTGACATCTACGACCTTCTTGCCTAGACTATTACTCCACCATTGAACTTGAAGCATTGTTTTCAGACCAATTTTTAAAATTTCATTCACTAGATATGCACTTCACTGGCTTGGCCAGCATTTATTGCCCATCCCTGGGTTGCTGTGGGATTGGAATCATGTGTAGGCCAGAAGTTTCCTTCCCTCAAGGACATTAGTGAACCAGGTATGTTTTTCTTGACAATAGTCATCATTTGACTCTTAATTCCAGATTTTCATTGATTTCAAATTCCACCATCTACCGCTGCAGGATTTGAACCCAGGTAAGTTCTGGGGATCTGGGTCTCTGGGTGTCTGTATTAATAGTCTAATAATAAAGTCACTAAGCCATCACCTCCCCTGTTGCTGACTGCTAATCTCCTGGTACCCGTTACTCAATAGTTCACAAGCTCACAGCCCTATATGGCTTATTTCTCCTTCCTTCCCAATATAAACAGGACTATCTGTTCAATCTTTTCCTGTCCCAATGAACTGATTTCTCTCTGCCTTGACTGTTTACTCTCCCATTGTCTAGTCTCTATCTGCTTACACCCATGATCCTTCTGATTTTCTCTTTCATTCCAAAATTTTTCAGTTTTCTGTTTTTAAACAACTCCTTATCTCCATGGACATCCCATCTCTCCATCCTCCTTCCTTCATCAGGATGCCCAAGGAGATTCTGCTTCTTTGTTCAACTAAGCCTGAGCCAGTTTCCATTAACCATTAACCATCACCCATCACCCTCTATCACCAGGTTGAAGTTATTTTGTCATTGAACACTATTTCCTTTAACTCATCTCACTTCAAATAAAAGATGTTACGGGTACCAGTATGGACTTTGTCTTTTTATCAAAGCTTTCTTATCCAAACCAATTCAGACCTCCTCTATTCTTCCGCCCATACATTGATAATTGTATTAATGCCATGTCCTGCTCTTGCCCTGAATTGAGAACTTTCTTCAACTTTGCTTCCAAATTCTAACCTTCCCAGTTTCACATGACTCATTTCCAACTCTTACCTTCCTATCCTTGACTTCTCTGTCTCCATTTCTGATAATAGGAGATCTGCTAACATTCATTATTCACCCTCTGACTCCTATAGCTACCTTGATTATAATTCCTCACCCCTTACATCCTGTAAGAATTCCATTATGTTTTTCCCACTTTCTCCACCTCCATTGCATTCTGGGGAGGCAGTCTTCCACAAAACATTTCTAGGATGTCTTTGATTTCCTTCAAACAATTTCTCCTCACTGTGGCTGACAGGACACATGACTTTGTGTGACCACACTTCTTCTGTCTCACCAATTCCCCTCCTGCCAGAACGACAATAGTGTTCCCTTTGTCCTCCACCTTCTACCACACCACCTTCCACTTTCAATATTCATCTGCAATTTCTGCCCCTGCAGAATGATGCTGCTGTTACAAACCCAGCTGATACTGTACAAGTCAGACCCCAGAATGGAATCTGTCTTGAGGGATCATCTTTTTGTCTTTTTTTTCTGATTTAATGTGGTAACTTTTCACTGTAACATAACTGCACTAGGTTGCAGATTTGGCTTTAACAATAAAACTGATGGTTATTATACAATAGAAATAAAGCAGATCAAGCTACCTAAAATAATACAGCTTGAAACACTTCAAAACACACAGGGAAATCCCCTGTCATTCCCACTACTACTACTTCCCCTCATGTTCTATGAGGTGTGAAGTCATTTTCTTACATCCTCCAACAACTGAGCTCTTAGATTTTCTCAGCTTTGAATAACCAATGCAGACTTTTTAACCAAATAATCCATTTTCCTACCCTTGAGTACTACTTCACAGCTGTCAGGATAGTGTAACTCTGAGAGCGTATATTCAGGGTTAATATTTTTAAGTAATCTCAATGTGGGGAATTGGTATTCCTTGTCTGCTCTATCAAGTTTCTATTACACAGTAAAACCCACCATACCTACAAGTCTGATGTATGAAGAAAGTTCTTAAAATGTATGAGCAGGAGTAGGCCCAATCTGTGTTTTTGTGGCTGCATTTGTGACTCCAGTATAGTATGCTGCCTCTGGTGAAGGACATCACTGAGTAACCGGAGGACATTCCTGTGGGAGACAAAGCATGGTTAATATTGGTACCAATAACATAGGGAGAATGAGGATGAGGCCCTGAATGAATGTATCAGACAGGTAAAATAGAGATTGAAAAGCAGGGTTTCACAGACAGTAATCTCAGAATTACTCCCAGTACTTCATGCTAGTGAGTACAGAAATAGGAGGATAGTTCACATGAACATGTGACTGGAGAAATGCTGTAGGAGGGAAGGCTTTAGATTTCTGAGGCATTGAGACCAATTCTGGAACAGGTGAAACCTGCACAAGGAGGATGGCTTACACCTTGACAGGGCCAGGACTAACATTGTTGAAGGGAGATTTGCTAGTTCTGCTGGAGAGATTCTAAACTAATCTGGCAGGAGGATGGGAATGTGAAAGGAAATTCAGATAGCAGAGAATTGAGTATAAATAAAGTATTATAAAGTACTAAGTGAAATCAGAAACAAAGTCCAGCATCAAAAAAGTCAAAATAAAAATGAAAATTTAAAGGAAATGTGTTTGATTGCAAGCAGCATTCACAACAAGATAGATGTTTGGCACAAATAGATATAAACAGGAATGATCTAACTGTCTTTACTGAGACATGGCTACAGGTTGACCAAGGTTGAGAACTGAATGTCCAGGAGTATTCCACATTCAAGGTGAAAGTAGTGATTTTAATAAGTGGTATGATCAGTACATTAGTAAGAGATGATCTTAGAATAGAAGATCAAGATGTAGAATGAGTTTGGGTGGAGCAAAACAGCAAGGGACTATAAACATTGGTGCAGGTTGTTTATAGGCCACTAAACATCATTAATAGTAACGTTGGTTAAGGTATAAAGCAGAAATTAGTGTCGTGTCATAATGCAATAATGATGGGGGATTTTAATCTACATAGAGGCTGAGTTAACCTAATTAAGACTAATGCTCAGGTCCAATTCCTGGAATGTATCTGAGATGGTTTTCTGCAAGTTGAGGAGCCAACTAGAGCTATTTGAGATCCACTATTGTGCAATGACAAAGGATTAACTAATTCAAAAGATAAAGTGAACCAACTTAATTTCGGATGTTATAGATTGTAATGGATTTAAGGAAGGAGCCTGCAAATTTGTCAAAAACTAATAAGGCTAAGGATTGGAAGCATTTTAAAACTTAGCAGAAGAGAACCATGAAGAAAATGAGAATAGGATACCAACGTAAACTAGCATGAAACATAAAAATGGATTGTACCACTTCTAAAATAAAACAAAGAACTGAGAATGTTGGAAATCTGAAACAAAAACAGAAAATGCTGCAGAACCTCAACAAGTCTGGCAGCAACTGTGGAGGTGAAGACGGATTTAATGTTTCAGATCCAGTGACCCTTCGTCAGGACTGAAAGCAGATGAGAAAGGGTAGTGTTTATGCTGATAACTTGGGTGGTTGAGTTAGGGATTGAATATAATGCATAGAGACAGTGCTGAGAAAGAGGAAAAGAAAAGAGAGGGAAACAAAAAGGATTACTGATGATAAACAGAGAGATAAATGCTGGGTAGGGTGCTAAGGGGAAGTGTAAATGGCTGGTTGTGCTGTGCCCATGCAAAACGGGATTTAGGGTTGTGAGTAATGAATGTGGAAGAGTGTGTTCACATTCACATAAATCTCAGTGCTGAGTCCTGATGACTGTAAGGTGCCTTGGGCGAAAGATGAGGTGAAGTTCCTCCAACAAATTCAGCACTGAGAATGAGTAACTAAAACAAGTCAATATTAGTTAAAATGTAGTGTTGGATAAATTATTTGGACTAATGGTTGTTAAGCCACCTAGACCTGATGCTGTAGGTTCCAGAGCATTGAAATGTGGCCTACATACTTAATGGTAGGGCCCTGGGTAGTGTTGTATAACCAAGGGATCTAGGGGTTCAGATACATAATTTTTTTGAACTTTGCATCACTGGTAGACAGGGTGGTTAAGAAGGTGTTTAACAAGCTTGCTTTCATTGCTCAGACCTTTGAGTATAGGAGTTTGGATGTCAAGTTGAGGTTGTACAGGACATTGGTAAGGCCTGTAAGAGTCAGAGTCATAGAGTGCTATGACATGGAGACAGGCCCTTTGGTCCAAACTGGTCCATGCCAACCAAAATGTCCATCCTTGCTAACCCCATTTCTTTGCACTTGGCCCTTATCCTTCTAAACCTCTTCCTTCCATGTATTTGTCCAAATGTCTTTTAAATGTTGTTAATGTACTTGCCTCAACCACTTCCACTGGCAGCTCATTTCATATGTGTACCACCCTCTGTATAAAAAAAAAAAAGTTGTCCTTCAGGTTCCCATTTATTCTTTCCCCTCTTACCTTAAACTGATGCCCCCTAGTCCTTGATTACCCCACCCTGGGAAAAAGACTGAGTGCATTCACCCTATTGATGCCTTTCATGATCTTATACACTTCTATAAGATCCCCCTCAGTATCCTACGCTTGAAAGAAAAATGTCCTATCTTGTCCAACCCCTCCTTATAACTCAGTCCCTTAAGTCCTAGCAACATCCTTGTAAATTTCTTCTGCAATCTTTCCAGTTTAATAACATCATTCATATAGCAAGGTGACCAAAACTGAACACAATACTCCAAATCCGGCCTCACCAGCATCCTGTACAAATGCAACACAACTTCCCAACATCTGTACACAATGTCCTGATTGATGAAGGCCAGTGTGTCAAAACCTCCTTCATTGCCCTGTCTCCTAGCGACTCCACTTTCAGAAAACTGAGACCTGAACTCCAAGGTCTGTCTGTTCCACTACACTCCTTAAGGTCCTAACATTCACCATGAAACTCCAACCTTGATTTGACTTTTTAAAATGCAATACCTCACTCTTATCTATATTAAACTCCACTTGCCATTTCTTGGCCTACTTCGCTCGCTGATCAAGATCCTGCTGCAATTTCCAATAACCTTCCTCACTGTCCACAATACCACCTACTTTAGTGTCGTCTGCAAACTTACTAATCATGCCTTGTACATTCTCATCCAAATCATTGATATAGATAACAAACTGCAATGGGCCAAGCACTGACCCCTGAGGCACACCACTAGTCACAGATCGCCGGTCCTACAAGCATCCTTTCACTATAACCCTCACTTCCCATCGTCAAGCCTTTTCTGAAGTTGTCTACAGTTCTGGTCACCCTGTTTTAGGAAGGATATTATTAAACTGGAGAGGGTTCAGAAAAGATTTACAAGGATGTTGCCAGGAATGGAGGATTTGAGTTATAAAAATTGGCTGGATAGGCTGGGACTTTTTTCACTGGGGCGAAGGATGCTGAGAGATGACCTTGTAGAGGTTTATAAAATCATGGGGGACATAGATAAGTTGAATAGCTTGAGTCTTTTCCTGAGGGTGGGGGATGTCAAACCTAGGGGGCATATTTTTAAGGTGAAAGGAGAAAGATTAAAAAGGACATAAGTGGCAACATTTTCATACGGTGGTTCATCTGTAGAATGAACTACAGAGGCAGTGGTGGATGCAGGTACAGATACAATGATTAAAAGACATTTGGATAAGTACATGAATAGGAAAGGTTTGGAGGGATATGGGCTAAACACAGGCAGATGGGACCAGTTTAGTTTGGAAACATGGTCAAGCGTGGACTAGTTGAACCGAAGGGTCTGTTTCCATGATGGATGACTGACTGTGAGAAAGGAGTCATCTTTGACAAAGCTGTTGGAGGTTTTTGAAGCTCTTACTGGCAAAATAGATATAGGGGAATTGATGGATGTGGTGTATTTTGGATTTTGAGAATGATTTCGATACGTTCCCCCACAAGAGTTTAGTCAACAAAATTAGAGCACATGGGCTTGGGAATATTAGCATAAATTAAGAATTAGTTAATGAACATAAACCAGATAGTTAAGAATAAGGAAGTCATTCTTAGATTGGCAGGCTGGGAGGAACGCAGTACCACCAGGATCAGTGCTTGTATATCAATGATTTGGATTTGGAGACCAACAGTAATATTTCCAAATTTGCTGAAGACTGGGACAGAAATCACAGGTCCTGGGGCAGCTCCTGGGCTGAACCCCTGCAACAAACACAGCAAATCACTGGTCCCTTCGAGCTCCAGAGCTACCTATTGGGTCCTGATGTGCCCTCCAGCCCCCTCTCCCAGGCCCTGGTGGATGACAAAAACAAGCTAGTCATATTGTCAGAAAGATGCAAAGAGACTTCAAGGGGATTCAAAAAGGCTAAGTGATCAAGCAAGAACATGACAGATAGAAAGTCATGTGGAAAAATGTGAGGTTATCCACTTAAGAAATATTCTGCACCTTGGTCTTTCTTACTAATGTGGTGAGAGATTGGGAAGTGTTGATATTCAAAGGAATCCAAGTTTCTTTGTTCCTAAGTCACTGAAAGTTAATATGGAGGTGCAGCAAACAGCTGTTTTTGCAAGAGGGTTTGAATGCAGGAATATGTCATGTTGCAATATCATAAGGATTGTTGTGACCTAAGGATGGATAATTTTGTAAACGGGGTGGGGTGAAACAAAAAGGTTCACGAGACTAATTCTTGGGTTAGAAAGACTTCCAGTGAGGAGAAATTGAGGAGACTGTGCCTCTTTCCTGCAGAGTTTAGAACAACGATAGATGATCTCATTGAAGCATTCAAAAGGTGGTAGGAACTCTAGAAGGAGAGGACAGCATCTCTCTGGATAGAACTGAATTGAGAAGGATTTCTTCACTGAGTGGAGAATGACTGGAGTTCTCTACTCCAGAAGGCTGTGGAGGTTCAGCCATTGAGTAAGTTCAAAACAGAGAGAGCGATAGATTTCTCGATACTTAAGACGTTAGAGATAAGGGGATAGTTCTGAAAAGTGGTATTGAGATAGAAGATCAGTAACAATCTAGTTGAATTGCAGAGTAGGTTTGAGGGCTTTATTAATCTACTACAGCTCCTTTTTTTTCTACTTTTCCTGTTTTCATCTGGCCCATCAACCTACCATTCAGTAAGATGATACCTGATCATCTATCTCAACTCCTCTTTCTTGCACAGTTAATAACCCTTAATTTCTTTTTTTACATCAAAGTCCATTGTACCCTGCCTTGAATATACTGTATTGAAAGTATGCAACCACTGAGCATCCGTGGTTCTTCTGGGCTCAGAATACACAATTTTTCAAGTTAGTAGCAGTAAAATGAGAAAACCACCAAACTGAAACAGGGACCTCCTGATACTTAGCCTGTCTTGCACTGTTAACTGAAGTATTTACTGAACTATTTCAAAGGTTTCACAGGGGCTTTCTTTTGCAAATTTCCCTTCACAAATTGTTGAACTACTTTCAGATCTGCTTGCCAGATGTCATTACCATTCAAACCACAAACAAAGCTTAGATGAGATGTTTTTGTAATCTTGTGGTTTCTTTTAAATTTGAGATCAAATAAAAATTATCCATTCTGGAGTGAGTGGATCTTAAACCCACATCTCCTGGTTTAGAGGTAGGGACATTGCCATTCTGCCACAGGGGCCCCTTAACTGGGACCTTCCAGATATTTTCCTAATCAACCCATATTTAATTCAAATATTTTTATTGGATTCACATTCTACCATCTGCAAAGGCAGGATTTGAACCCAATTCCCCAGAACATAATACCAGTAGGCCATCACCTCAGTTGCTGACTTCACATCCTCACTCCCCTGTTCGTAGCCTAACTCAACACTTTGCTCCCTCATTCACTATCCCTCACTAAATTTCTCCCACTCGCTGCTTTACTCCCTAACTACCAGGGGCAGTGTACAGCAATGCAGCACAACTGTTTGGAGGGAGCAGTGAGCAAATCCCCATCACAAAATTTGAATTATTTTAAATATTTGAATAATTGTTTTATTCAAATATGACTCATTTTATTGACCTGTTTCTTTTTGATGCAGACACCTTGCTGCAACATTGCCTGCAATAAAATGATGGGTACTGCAAGTGCATGGGTGGTGAGCGTGTCCCTTAAGTAATGGTGATGACAAACAAGCCATTGTAACATTATCATTTCATTTTTCTGACATTGGTTCTGAATTATTGTGCATGCCTTGAGGGTTTCATCCTTAACCACAAAACCGAAAGTAATGCTGTCATTCAGTGCTGTAAGTCGTTATAAGGGTTTCATTTTCCATCCTCATGTCTCACTCTGTGTTGCTGTATGAAGCCTCTGCTGCTGATACTATAAATGAAGTTCAAGCTTCAGAAACAGTGGCATCTCCACGTGTACTGGAGCATTTACTGTGAACACAGTTTCTGCTTGAAATTATTTGGAGAAGTTTGGACCTTTGTGTTGCCAGAACTTCAAGGTCAGTGCCAGTCTGAAGAGAATGTCCACAGACTGTAACATGTGGAACAATACAACAGTTCAGTCTCCTGCTGATTTGGGCTACATCATGTGTGACTACTGTATCGAGAATCCAACACCGGCTGCAAAGACATGTTTAAAATGTGAAGCTTCACTTTGTGCTTTTCATTTGCAACCACATCTGCTCAAACCGGCCTCCAGTGGACACATCCTTATTGAACCTGTAGCTGACCTCACAAGCAGGCAATGTTCTGACCATAAGGAACTCTTACAGTTCTATTGTAAAGATGATGCTGTAAGTTTGTGTGGTGGCTGTATAATAGTGGGTAGACACAAGTCCCATACACTGCAGAGTCTGGAACAGACGCAAGCCTCTATTCAGGTGAGTGATGCAGTTCCTGATATTAATGGCAGTGATTTTCCTGATGATCAGCATTAATTAAAACAGATTACAGATGGTGCTGAGTTAATCCAGTGTTTTCTTACTGACCTGGGCCTTGGTTTACAGCTGGTTGCTTCTTGTAGGTCAGATTTGCTTCATCCTCTTTCTCTTATATCCTGAGAAAACAGGCTGGGCACTAAAAGGGGCACTAGGCACTGAAGTGAGCCTAAGACTGCTCCCACCAGCACTGGCACTCCATGGCTCAGGGCTGTAGAACAGACATATTGGATCCTGTGTAAAACTGCAGGATTCTGTCCCCTGAGCAGTAGGGACAGGGCCACCACTATGGGGGGAGTGAGGGAACACCCATGGAGGAAACTCAGTGGGTGAAAATACTTTTCACAGCACAAAGGGATTGTTGTTCTGGGTGGCGTGGTGGCTCAGTGGTTAGCACTGCTGCCTCGTAGCACCAGGGACCTGGGCTCAGTTCCACTCCCGGCCGACTATCTGTGTGGAGTTTGCACATTCTCCCCGTGTCTGCGTGGGCTTCCTCCGGGTGCGCCAGTTTCCTCCCACAGTCCAAAGGTGTGCAGGCTAGGTGGATTGGCCATGCTAAATTACCCCGTAGTGTTCAGGCATGTGTAGATTAGGTGGGTTTATAAGGGGATGAGTCTGGGTGAGATGCTGTGAGGGTTGGTGTGAACTTGTTGGGCCGAAGGGCCTGTTTCCACACTGTAGGGATTCTGTGAGACTTATGGGCTGCATGGGCAATAAATTCTGACACAGCCAATGATGCCTAAATCCCATGAATGAATAAAAAAAAATTATGTATTGCAACTATTCTGTGATTCATTTTCTATCCACAACTGATCGGCTTACTCCTGAAAGCAAGTTATTTCTCTTTTACACTCCAGTTTGAAACCTTTTCTAAACACTTTCTAAACACTTTCCAGGATGAATTGCAGACAGAAGTTGAGAAGCTTCGAGGAGTCCAGCAGAATTGTTCCAGCAAACAGCAAGACTTAGACAGAAGTGAAGCTGAAATACAGGTAGGGAAAAGTGGAATTGGAACTGGATTCACTGAAATCTGCAGCCAAGTTGGGCAAAATTCTAGGGACCTCCCGAGGAATACAGGAACGGCAATAGGCTATTTACAACCTCACGCCTGCTCTGCCTAGCCACGAAATCATAGTTGATCTGTGGCCTAACTCAATCTTCATACCATTGACCCAAACTCAATGACCCTGATGGATAGAGTGCTGTTAATCTCAAATTTAAAATTAACAATTGAGCTAACATCATCTGCTGTTTTCAGGAGTGAGATCCAAATGTTTACCATGCTGTGTGTTTCTAAATTTCACTCCCAAAAGGCTGATATCCTATCATCCTACATTCCCTAACCAATGGAAACATTTTCTCTCTATCATACTTTCATCTTCCCTTAAAACCTTATAAAGTCAATCAGTTCACTCTTTAACCTCTTAAATTCTAGGACATAAAATCCTGGTTTGTATAAACTCTCCTCATAACTTAATTCTTGAGGGTTCAGAACTCAAGGTAACACTGGAGAAACTACCTAGAATAGAGAGTTTTCCCTCCCAGTGGAAACCACCCACTGTTTGTCTATCTTTAACAGCGATGGGGTAGTGATCAAAAGAAACTGTCCTGTCTCTGGAAAGTGCCATATTTTCAGGGTAACAGCTTTAAGGAATGGCTGTTTGTAATGAGAGTTGGTTTTGGTTTCAGATACGAATCAGTGAACTGAAAGGAAATCTACAGAAGATCTTCTCTGAATGGAAGAGAAAGCTGGAAGAAGGTGAAGCATCCACAATGTCACTGATTGATGAGGAGGGTCTCCGCATACTTTCACAGATTAGAAGCTGTTCTGGAGCTTTAAACCAGAGGATGGAACGGATAACATTAATTGATAGGGAAACCCAGAATCTTGTACAGAAAGACCCTGTCTTCTTTATTCAGGTACATCTTCAATTTACACAGGACCAGGACTGGGGATTAGAGGGTTTCTGTGAGGCTAGTAGGAGGGCAAACTTGTTGGAGCCCAGCACTGGATCTACCCTTGGGTCCTGCCCTCAGTGTTAGTGTCCTCTCAGTCCCTACCTTTTGTGTGTTGGTGTCTCCTTAGTTCTGTCTTTCGTGTGTTGGTACAATCCCAGGATAGACAGCAGTGAAATGTGGGTTTGTTCCTCATTCCTGGGACTAGCCCCATCTACTATTCCACTCTGAACTCTTTCCTCTCAATCCCAAATTCATTGTTTAGTTCCACTGTGTTGCTTTATTCATTGACTGATTTGATTTTCTCTCTTTATTCACAGAACTCGAGGCAGCTCCTTTCCAGGTAAGTTCCTCTTAGTCGTTTAGTAGCTGCTGCTGATAGGGAACCTTCCCCTATATCTAGGAGCAGAGTGAAACTAGAATCACAGCTTGGAACCTTTCCCAGATACTGCCCTTTCATACAGTGGGAGTATTAAGTGAGAATTGGGAGATTCTACACATACACTGACAACACTCAGCTCAACCTCATCACTGCTTCTGTCCACCTTCCATTGCCTCTGAATTTTTACTCGATATCCAGACTCAAAGGAGCACAACTATCTCCAGTTGGACATTGGGAAGCCATTTTACTCTACCCGTACTACAGTTTACATTCCTTAGCCATTGATTCAAACCCCTACTACCTGAGGCTGAACCAAACTGTTTACAACCACAGCATTTCTTTTGACCTGAGCTGAGCCTGCAGACAGATATCCTCTCCATTACCAAAGTCTCTTTTTTCACATCTGTAAGCATTACCTGTCAGCTGTCTCAACACATCTGTTAGAAAATAGGTGAAGGAGTAGGCCATTCGGCCCTTTGAGTCTGCTCCACCATTCGATATGATTATGGCTGGTCATTAATTCCATACTTTGATCTGCATTCTCTCCACACCCATTGATATATATTTCTTCCTTGAGAACATTCACTGTTTTGGCTTCATCCACTCTCTGTGGCAGAGAATTCTGAAGGTTCAACACTCGCTGAGTGAAAACATTTCTCCTTGTTTCAGTTCTAAACGGCTTAGACTGTGACCCCTGGTTCTGGACGCTCTGGTTATCAGGAACATCCTTTCTGCATTTACACTGTCTAGTCCTGTTAGAATTTTATAGATTTTTATGATATTCCCCCATCATTCTTCTAAGTAGCAGTGAGCATAGTTCTAACTGATCCACACTCTCTTCTTATGGCATGCCTATCATCCCAGGGATCAGTCTGGCAAACCTTTGTTGCATTCCCTGCATAACCAGAACATCCTTCCTCAGATAAGCAGACCAAAACTACACACAGTACTCCAGCTGTGGTCTCACCAAGGTCCTGTATAATCGCAGCAAGACACCCTTACTGCTGTACTCGAATCCTCTCGCTAGGACAGTCAACACACCATTTGCTCTCTCCTCCACCTATTGAACTTACGTGCTTAATTTCAGTGACTAGTGCACAAGGACACCCAGGTCTCATTGTGCATCTCCTTTCCTAATCTATCGCATTCAGACAATAATCTGCCTTCCTATTTTTGCTATCAAAGTAGATAACCTCAGATTTATCCACAGTATACTTCGTCTGTCATGCATTTACCCATTTACTCAACTTGTCCAAATCACACTGAAGTATCTCTGCGTACTCCTCCCAGTTCACCCTCTCACCCAGCTTTGTGTCGTCTGCAAACCTGGAGCTATTACATTTAGTTCCTTCATCTAAATCATTAATATATGGTTGGGGTCCAAGCAATGATCCCTGTGGTAACCCATAGGTCATTGCCCACCGCCCAGAAAATTACTTGTTTATTCCTACTCTTTTATTTCCTGTCTGCCAACCAGATCTCTATCCATGTCAGTACACTACCCCTAATTCGTGTGCTTTAATTTTACATGCAAGTTTGTTCTTGAATCTCTTCTGAAAGTCCAAGTTAACCACATCCTCTAGCTCCCCCGATCAACTCTAACAACTACATCCTCAAAAAAAATTCCGGTAGATTTGTAAAGCGGGATTTCCTATTTGAAAAACCATGCTGACACTGTCCAATCCTGTGACTGTTTTCCAAGTGCTCTGTATTAAATCTTTTCTAATGAAGTCTAGTATTTTCCCCACTACCAACATCGGGCTAACTAGTTTGTAATTCCCTGTTTTCTCTCTACCATCTTTCATAAATAGTGGCTATATTTACTGCCCTCCATTCCATGGGAAATGTTTCAGATTCAGAATCTGAATATATGTCCCCCGGTGCACCCACTATTTCTAGGGTCACTTCTTTATGCACACTGGGATGTTGATTATTGGCACTGGATATTTGCCAGCCTTCAATTCCCATTAATTTTCCCCACATTTTCCTACCAATACTGATTTCCTTCTGTCCCTCCTTTTCTCTAGACTCTGAATTTTCCAACATTTTTGGAACCATTATCTGTAACCTTCTTCGTGAAGACAGAACTAAAATATGTCTTTAATTGGTCTGCCAGCTCTTTATTTCTCGCTGTAACTTCCCCTGTTTCTGACTGTAAGGGGCCCTATATTTGTCTTCACTAATCTTTTCTCCTTGCATAGCCATATAAACTGGTTGTAAAAGTTTTTGTTCCTGCAGCTTACTCTCATACTCTGTTTTCCCCCTCTTAATCAATCTCTTTGTCCTCTTTTCCTGAAATCGGAATTACTCCCAGTCATCGGGTCTGATGCTGTTTTTGGCCAATTTGTACACCCATTCACTGGATTCAATACTATCCTAATTTCCTTTATAAGTCATGGCAGGCCCATCTTTCCCATTTAATTTTTGTTACACAGGAATGAACAGTTGTTGCAGTTCATCTATGCATTCTTTAAATATTTGCCATAGTCCACTCACTATCCTCTCTTTAGATTTAGGACCCCAGTCTCAGAATCAGCTATGTCACACTCCATCTTAATGAGAAATTCTATCATATTATGCTCACTGTATCCCAAGGTGCCTTGCCCAGTGAGAATGTCAATTATTCCCTTCTCATAGCACTGTACGTAGTCTAGGATGGCCTGTTCTCTCATTAGCTCCTCAATGTACTGATTCAGAAAATCATATAATACTCACTGCAGGAATTCCTCCTCTATGGTGTTGTTTCTGGTTTGATTTACCCAAACTATATGCCGATTAAAGTTGCCCTTGATTACTGATGCACCTTTATCGCTTGTTATAATTTCCTGCTTAATGCCCCCCTAACATTACAAATTCAGTTCAGGGGTCTCTATACAATCCACAATATCATTTTGTGGTGCTTCTAAAATCTATCCATACAGAGTCCACTGGAGCTAATATCTCACTATCATTTTCATGTCTTCTTTAACTAGCAATGATATTGTAGTGATTGGAACAAGAGCAAGGCAGATCTTATTGACTATGCTTTCCTGATTGGGGTTGTTAATCTGGGCCAATCAGGAAGCCCTGGCTGACCAATATAAACATGAGATTCAGAGAGTCTCCTCATTCTAGGGACGGGCTTTCCACTGGCTGGTCACAGCCTATGTACTGTATGCATGTAAATAAAGGCTGACTTGGTGACAGGATACCAGCCTCTGCAGTTATTTCAGCTACCCCACCTCCTATTCCTCTTTCTTTCCTTGGTAAAATCTGAATAGCCCTGAATATTCATTCTGCATCCCTGATCACCCTGCAGCCACGTCTCCATAATCCCAACTATATCATATCCATTTATCTGTTTGCATCACTAATTCATCCATCTTATAGTGAATATTCTGCACATTATGAATAAAACCTTGAGTCTTGTCTTCTCAACACTTTTAGTCCCCTTCACATTATTTTGCACTGTGGCTCTGTTTGATTCTTGCCCTTGAATTCTCTACCCATGTCTTTCATTATTATCTGTTTTGTCTTTTGATTTTTGTGCTTCTTTCCCTCTCCTCTGTCCCTGTATAAGTTCCCATCCTCCACAACAATACCAGCAAATACTTACCGGTCCTGTCTGGATGTAACCTATCCAAATCTTACTGGTCCCATCTCCCCCAGAACTGGTCTCAATGCCCCAGGAATCTGAAAAACCCCCACCCTCACCATCTCCATAGCCACCTATTCATCCTATGTATCCTACTATTTCTACTTTGACTAGCACATGATACTGGTAACAATCCTGAGATCACAATTTTTAAGGTCCTACTTTTTAACTTTCTTCCTAAATACCTATATTCTGCTTTTACTGAGAGCCTTGCCATTTCTGGTTATGTTCAGATCATTTTGACGGCAGGGATTCTGATATTTTCAGGATGAGTTGCTGTGGGATGTCAGTACAAGCTTTAGAAGGAGGGTGCTGATCACTCATTCCACTATAGGCTTCTAATCTGAAATGTGCTACTTATCAAACCATTCTCTCCTCTTCAATTCCAGAGTGACTGAGACTCAGAACATCACAGAGCTAGATGTTCCAGTGATCACCCTGAACCTGTCCAATATATCTCAATGTCTCCAGAAGAAGCTGAGTGGATGGGAACGGTACCACTCGGACATATTGGGAATCATCAGTAAGAACGTGCAACTTTTCTCCAATCTAAGGGAATGAGAGCAGGTCGGGTTAGTTGTGTTCATACGGCTGGGAATATCCCTGAACTTTGTCAGCTCCCCTTGCGTGTCTGAATCAAGAACCTAAGATTCATCCTCAGAGCCCAGTGACATTTGCTTCAAACATTCCCTGCTAGAATAGGCAGAATAGGCCAGAGTTTCACCCAGCACAGTTTATTAAGTGATGGGAGAGGAATTACACACTCTGAGGGTGTCTCTTAAAGGGACACTGTCCCTCACAGGAATGACCACAGCTCTACCCATCATGGGCCAGAGTAAGAATCCAGATGTCTTTTACAGGATGCCATCTCTCTCAGGCATGCGAGTACCATTAAGTAGTACAGTAAAAGATAAAGCATATTGTCTTTCCCAATTTTAGGTCAATACAAAGATCTAAGTTCATTTTTTGAAGTATGGTCTCTGTTGTAATGTAAGGAAATAAAAGAATGGAATCTTAATAACTGTAGTGTTGTCACTTTAAGAGTGATGTTCCTTTATTAGGCCCAGCATGCAGATGAGCCTGTACTTGGATGCCATGGTGTGACTCGAGGTCACACCACATTGTAGCAGCCAGGACACAAGAGATATGTAGGGATCACTCTGTAATGTCTGTATTTGTTCGACTGTAACTAAGGCCACCAGAGGTCTTCAAGTAAATGGAATCCAGGCACCTCATTTTGGTGCACAATGATAACATGAAAAAACTACATTGTGTCAGAAGTCTGAGTATTACTGCACACTCACTATTGAGTGATGTGAAGGACGCTGGACCTTGCTAACCCTAATCCTAACCTATCACCATGTATTTTGTTTATAGTGTCAGCTTCCACCAAACACATGGACACATCAAATGTATCTCCTTTCCCACACAGCACCTCTGGGAAAGCCCCTGTCACAGGGAAAGTCCTCCAGACGTCAACTCAGCTTTGCAGGAGGGCTGGAATATTCCAAGGTATGTTGATAATATTAAAGAAGGATCACATTAAATTTAATTTTTATTTAACAGTCTAGTTTCAGTAATTTTTCAATGTTCATTACTAGGAATTCAAGTTCCTATATCTGATTCCTCTTCACAGCTCTGAATTGGTCCTTCAGGGCAGTAGAGGGTTTTGATAAACTCAGAAAATGCACAGGGAGCAAAAATTTATTGTATAGATAGAATAACAACTTAATTATAATTTGCAACTGTATGTCCACTAATATTGTGTGAATTGTTGGAGGCTTTAATCAAGTAGTCACTATCATTATCATCAGATGTCCCTCAATTTGCGGATGAGATCTGTCTGTTCTGGGTCATGGGTTCGCATGTGACTGTCCCACAGATCTTTGAACATACGGGTACGTCACCTCACAGGGTAATGGGATTGGGAATGCAGGATTTCCTTCCTTTTTATTTCCTTTCTGCGAATGCCCTCCTTTATCATGAAAGCATCCAGACTCAGAACACGCTGCAGCTTGACAGACAAGTCATTGTCCTTTTTGACAATTGGTAGCAAGCTCCTTCCAGCCATTAAGTCAATGTTGTCTCATTTCATGGAGATTTTCTGATTGTCTTTTTGGTTTTATTTTCTTCTCTGGAATGCTCACTATTTGAGTGTTGAAGGAACAGGGACAGACACTTTTTAGCCATCAGAACAGTGTCCAATCCATTGTTGTTGGTTTTCCAGAATTTCGGCCAATTTCTCATTTCAGCTGACTGAAGGACACAAGCATTTGAGTGGGAGTCCTCTGATTAAATCCACAAATTGGAGTGAAGGGAATTCCTCTAGTGCTGTGTTGCAATACTGACCAGCAGAGATAGACATGACCTACATTGAGTGTCATTGTCCATTCTGCACCGGATTTTCCAGCTTTTCTAGATCTCTTCAATTCTGCATAGAAAAGACTCAATCTGTCCTTCAATGTTGCTAAAACAAAACTTGCAATAACTTAGAGCTGGACAGTCAGAGCTTAGGGCATTGTATTTGAATGCATATAACATTTGAAACAAAACAAATGAACTAATTGCCCAAATTGAGATAAATAATTAGGAAGGGCAGGCAGCTAAGAAAGGGTGAGCAGTGACTGTTAGAGATAATGTTAGCATAATAGAGAGGGATGACCTGAATTCAGGAAACCAAATTAGAGGTAATATGGGTAGACGTGAGGAATATTAAAGACAAGACGTCACTTGTGGAAGTTGTGCATAGGCACCTAACAGTAACCATTTGGTAGGACAGGGTATCAAGGAAGAAATAATGGGAGCTAGGCAAAAGATTACTGTGAATTTCATAGGAGAGTTTAACAGAAAAGACTAGAAAAGTCAGATGGAAAAAATTCTGTATAAGATGATGATTTTCACTTTTTTTTTCTAAGGGCAGTATCTTCAACCAGCATGTTATGGCACCAACCAGACAGCAGGCTACACTAGCCCTTGTTTTAACCAATAAGATAGAATTAATTACTGACCGCATAGTGGAAGCATCCCTGGGTAGCAGTGACCATAATTACATGATTGAATTTTACATACAATTTAAGGGAGAGAAGAGTAGGTCCAAGGTTACTAGTTTGAATTTAAACAAGGACAATTAATAGGGCATGAGAGTGGTGAAAGTGCACTTGCAATTCAGCTTAGGGGATAGGTCAATAGAGATGTAGTGACAAACAGTTAAGGCAATACTTGAGAAAGCACAGAATAGATATTCCAATAAATTTCAACAAATAAAAGCTATTCTATGGGATGGATCACCATAAGTGGTTAACTAAAGTCAAAAACAGGAAAAAAGCACAAAGATAAAAACATATAATTATGCAAAGATAGGTGACAGGTAAAAATATTGGATAAAACATAAACATGCCAAAGAAACACGAACAAACTAATAAGGTAAAAATTCGAATGAGACAAATTTAGCCAAAAGTATACAAGCAGTTAGGAAAAAGTTCTTCTGATATTTAAAAATGGAATGTAAATGTTGGCCCTATAAAAAATGAGTTAGGGGAATTAGTAATGGAAGATAGAGATGACAGATGAATTGAACAGATATTTTGCACCAGTCCTCTTGAGCTGACCCAGAAGTAGCTATAGATCAGGAATTGAAAGGAAGGGAGGAACTCAAAGTGGCAATTACTAGGGAAGTAGTACTGAGTGAATTGTTGTAACTAAGTTAACAAGTTCCCAGGTCCAAATGGATTTCGTTCTGGGCCTTACAGCAAGTAACAACTGAGATAGTTGATGCATTGATTTTAATTTTCCAAAACCCATTAGATTTGGGGAAGGTTACTTTAGATTGGAAAAAAGCTAATGTAGCTTATTTATTCAAAAAGGGTTGGAGGCAGAAAGCAGGAAACTTAACATCTGTCAAAGGAAAAAATAATACAAGTTAGTTTTGAAGACGTTGTAACAGGGTACTTGAATAATTTCAAAGTAAACAGCAGAACCAATATGGTTTTGTCAAAGGGAATTTATGTTTAACTAATTTATTGTACTACTTTAAAGATGTAATTTGTGCTGCAGATAAAAGGGAACCAGTGAATGTATTGTGTTTAGATTTCCAGAAGGCATTTGATAAGGTGCCACATTAAAGGTTATTGTGGAAAATAGAAGCTTATGATGAAATTTAGGAGATCAACTTGCTAACAAGAACCAGAGAGTAGGAATAAATGTCTTTTTCCGGCTGGCAGGATGTCATGAGTGATGTGTCACAGGGGTTAGTGCTAGGAGGTACAATTCGTATAAATGACTTGGATGAAAGGATCAAAGGTATGGCAGTTAAATTTGCTGATGGCACAAGGATAGCTAGGAAATTGAGTGTGAGGAGGACATGAGGTTAAATGAATGGGCAAAAATCTGGCAAATTGAGTACAATGTGAAATTGTCCATTTTGGCAGAAAGATTAAAAAAAAAAGAAACATTATGTAAATACTGAGAGGTTGCAGAACTCTGAGATGCAGAGATATCTGGAAAAGTTGATATGCAGATAAGCTGACAATGTTTTATTGCAAAGGAAATTGTATGAAACAGTAGGGAGGTTGTACTTCAGTTTTACAGGGCATTGGTGAGACTGCATTTGGAGTACTCAATACAGTACTGGTCACTATATGTATAGAAGGATGTTAATGCTTTAGAAGTAGTTCAGAGGTTTACTAGACTAATACCTAGAATAAGCAATTTGCCTTATCAGGAAAGGGTAGGCCTGTATCCTCTGGAGTTTAGAAGATTCAGAGGTGATGAAATTGAAACATACAAGATCCTGAGAGGACTTGAGCAGGTGGAGTGGAAAGGATCTTTCCTTGTGTCGGACAATCTAGAACTAGTGGACTGAGTTTAAACATAAGGGGTTGCCCATTTAAGTCAGAAATGAGGAAACTTTCTTTTTCTCAGAGGGTTATGATTCTTTGGAATTCACTTCCTCAAAAGGCAGTGGATGCAGAATCTTTAAATATTTTTGAGGCAGAGGTAGATAGATTCTAGGTTACCAAGGGATTCTAGCCTAGTCTTTTTTTTAAAATTCATTTGTGGGATGTGGATGTCGCTGGCTGGCTCAGGATTTATTCCATGTCCATAGTCAATCTTGAGAAGATGGTGGTGAGCTGCCCTCTTGAATTGCTGCATTCCACCTCCTGTGTGTTGGTCCACAATGCCGTTGGGGAGGGGATTCCAGGATTTTGACCCAGGAACAGCCAAGTTAGGATGGTGAGTGGTTTGGAGGGGTGGTTGTTATAAAGCAGAGGTTGACATCACTGAGAACTAAAACTGAAACACCCAAAGAGGAGCACTTGCCCTATAATCTATGAAAGGAGTCTGAAAAGTGGTATAACTTACCTTTCAGCAACTTCTAATGATTAAATAAGATGAATCCCTGACACTTTACAACAACAAGTAAGAATTTATTTATCTAACTCTAGCCGTGAACAAATTAACTAAACTATTAACAAACCAAATAAACACTTTCCAACTACTAACTATTCCCAAATAAAGGAAGATTCTAATGGTATGCTGTTCCAATAAATACACGTCCCACTTTATATTTAAAAAAAAAAAATTTACTCTCTAAATTACACACAGGTTACATGTCTTCTGGAATGCTCTGTGCCTTCTCCATCGATTCTCCTGTCAGGAACATTAACTAGTTATGCCATCGGTACCTTTGATATTTAGATGGTGCTTTCTCTAAGACTTAGAGGAGACTGTGAGAGCCAGCGATTCTCGAGTGCTATTAACTCCAGCAGGTGGCAGTTAGCTCTCCCATCTTTGTGAAATTGCCCTCTTCTTTTATACCCTTGATGACATATCAATTTCTTACACTAAGATTGGTCCTATGCTGTCAAAACCATCAGATTTAAATTTAATTGTTTTTTGGTATCCAAATGCCTGGTCCAAATTGATTGGATAAATTCAAAACTTGTTGTCTTGGTTAAAAAAAAAAATGCTGCTTGGCCTGCTAAATGTACGGCCTTTTGATACAAATGTTTCAATTCAGCTGCTCTCCGTGTACTTGCAAACCTTCAAGCTACTGCTCACAGACACGTTTTTTTTAAAATCGCTAAGTATAGAAAAAGCATATCATATTTTAAAGGGACCATGCAATGCTCCCCGACCCCCACCCCAGCACTTTACAAACATCATTTTCTAACTTCCTGTCTCCCAATCCACAAATACACAACTCAATATCGCAACAGTCGTGTATCTGCTGCCCTTCTCCTTCTGGATAGAAGTGGTTGTGGGTTAGAAGGTGCTGTCTGAGGACTTTTAGTGAATTTCTGCAGTGCTTCTTGTAAATAGTACACACTGCTGCTACTGAGTGTCAATACTGAAAAGAGTGGATGTTTGTGGATGTGCTACCAATCAAGCGGGCTGTTTTATCCTGGATAGTGTCAAGCTTCCAGAGTGTTGTTGGAGCTGCACTCATCCAGACAGGTGGGCAATATTCCATTACAGTCCTGACTTGTGCCTTGTAGATGGTCGACAGGCTTTGGGGAATCAAGAGGGGAGTTGCTTCCCATAGCATTCGTAACCTCTGACCTGCTCTTGTAGCCATTATGTTTATGTGGTGAGTCCAGTTGAGTTTCTGGTAAATGCTAACCTCCAGTACATTGGTAGTAGAGGATTTCAGTGTTGATAACACCATTGAATGTCAAGGGGTTATGGTTAGCTTGTCTCTCATTGGTGATGGTTATTGTTTGGAAGTTGTGTGGTGTGAATGTTACTTGCCACTTGTCAGCCCAGGCGTGTATATTGTCCCAATCTTGTTGCATTCGAACTTGGACTGCTTAAATATCTGAGGAGTTGCAAATTGTGCTAAACATTTTGTAATCATCGGTGAACATCCTCAATTCTGACCTTATAATGGAGGGAAGGTCATTGATGAAGCAGCTGAAGATGGTTAGGCCAAGAAGACTACCCTGAGGAATTCCTGCAGAGATGTCCTGGAGCTGAGATGACTGACCTCCCACGACCACGACCATCTTCCTATGTGGCAGGCATGACTCCAACCAGTACAGCGTTTGTCCCAAATACCCATCAATTCCAGTTTTGCTAGGGGTCCTTGATGCCACATTCTTTTGAATGCAGCTTTGATGTAAAGGACTGTCACTCTTACTTCACCTCTGGAATTCAGTTTTTTATCCATGTTTGAACTAAGGCTATAATGAGGTCAGGATTTGAGTGGCCCTGGGAGACCCTAAATTGGGTGTCAATGAGCAGGCTATTGCTGAGCACATGCTGCTTGATAGCACTATTGATGACACTTTTCCATTACTTTTACTGATAATCGAGAGTAGACGGATGGGACGGTAGTTCGTTGGGTTGGATTTGTCCTGCTTTTTATTTACAAGACATGTTCCACATTGTCGGGTAGATGCCAGTGTTGTAACTGTACTGGAACAGCTTGGCTAGGGGAGCAGCAAGTTCTGGCCTGCAGGCCTTCAGTACTAGTGCCAGAATGTTGTCAGGGCCTGTAATCTTTGCAGTATCCAGTGTCTCCAACTGTTCTTTGATATCATGTGGAGTGCATCAAATTGGCTGAAAACAGGTATCTGTAATGTTGGGAACTAGTGGAGGAGGCCGAGATAGATCATCCATTCAGCACTTCTGGCTGAAGATTACTGCGAATGCTTCAGACTTATCTTTTTTGTCAAGTTTCATCCTTATCTTTTGCAGGGCACTTAGATTGGAGTAGCAGTCAGGAAACCCTGCAGCAGCAGAAGGCAGACCCACAGTAACCAGTAAGCCTATAAATTTAGCACAGTGCAGATTGGGGCCTTGTCTTTACAGGGCACTCAGCTCGGAGCTGCAGCAGTCGGGAGGCGGGGAGGGGGCACAGTAACCTGTAAGCCTGTAAATTTGGCGCGGTGGGCATTCAGGCCTAGTCTTTACTGGGCACTTAGCTGGGAGCAGTGAGGGGGAGGGACACAATAACCGTTAAGCTGCAGGAATACTACGAGAATCGCCAGCACAACTCAGTGAGTACTGGGCACCTGACAACTACTGGTTAACCCTTTCTTATCCTACAGATTTTTTTTTTTAAAAATTCATTCATGGACTGTGGCTTTGTTGGCTAGGCCAGCATTTATTGCCCATCCCTAACTACCCAGAGCGCAGTTAAAAGTTAACCACACTGCTGTAGGTCTGAAGTCACATGTAGGCCAGACCAGATGAGGCTGGCAGTTTGCTTCCCTAAAGGACATTAGTTAACAAAGATGGATTTTTCCAATAAACGACAATGGCTTCACAATCATCATTTGACTCTTAATTCCAGATTTTTATTGAATTCAAATTCCACCATCCTGCCATGGCAGGACTTGAACCTGGGTCCACAGAACATTAACTGGGTCTCTAGATTAACAGTCCAGTGATAATAGACCATCGCCTAGTGGGAATTTAATTACAGTCAACCTTTTCATAACCTTAATGATAGAGTAGGAAGTCAAACAAAATAAGTCTAATAATTCTAGATTGAAGCATTAATTGTAAATTTAAGAAATATCAGGAACAGCCAGCCGAGCAGAATGTGTAGCTCGTAGTGAATGGCAGAGCAGGTTGAAAGGACTGAGTGGCCTCCTTCCTACACCTGACAAGGCTGATCTTTCCCAGACTTTGGCAACCACCTCTCTCAAAGGCCACCATTGACAAGGAAATGTCAGGTGATAAGCTGCACCAGTTTAGCCTTCTGCAAACTACAGGAGAGACTGAATGTTCGACAACAAAGACCTTTGCAAGTCAACAGAAGTCCCTTTTTCAAACAGCAGTCATCACCAGGACCACAGTCCTGACTGAGCCTGGGACTGTGCATCAGTGACACACCCGAGCTGTATTCAAAATGTGAAGTTCACAATAGGATGGAGAGAGTCCAGGGCGCACTCCTGGGAGATGCATCTTCCATATCCACTCAATGTTTAAGTTGCAGAGATGTAACAATGTTATTGTGTCTCAGTGAACATGTGCAAAATCCCACACTGCATTTAAACTGCCTGCTATTGTGCCGCACTAGTGTTTGCATTGAGTGTACCGACTGGGACCACATGCTGCTATTTAACACACATTCTGATGAAGGTCATTTATTTAACATGGGAAGAACCCACTCTTGTAGGTAGTATAGCGTTGATGGTGTCTGGGAAATACTTACACACTCCCACTTTACAGCTGTCACTTATTGTTCTGAGTGGTTTAATTCTGTCTGATCAATTTCTTCTCTCATCTTTAGGGAAAAGCCCATTGAGCCTGGATCCAAAGACAGCAAACTTCAACTTGGCTCTGTCTCATGATCTGAGATCGATGACATGGACTGAACAGCAACAGCCCTATCCACCTCACCCAGAGAGGTTTAAGCATCATCCCCAAGTCCTCTGCTCTCAGAGCTTCTGCTCAGGATCCCATTCCTGGGATGTGGACACTGCTGGAATTTACTGGGGAATAGGGATTGTGTGTGGGAATGCGGTCAGAGAGGGAATAGATTCATACCTTGGCAACAGCATTAACTCATGGTGTTTATACTTTTATGCTGGTTCTTTTCTCCGAGCCTGTCACAACAACAAGGCCATATTCCTCCGACAACTTCCATTAAATAGCAGGATCCGAGTCCAGTTGGACTACGAGGCTGGGACTTTGTCATTTCACCAAGTTACTGAGTCACTGACACATTTGCACACTTTTCAAACCACATTCACTGAACCAGTGTTTCCAGCATTTTGTTGTTGGAAAGAATCCTTAAGACTGATTGATTAATTCTCATATCTATGATTCAGTAAACTCATTTTTCATTTCAGAAGCATCATTTGGGATGGGATCTTGGAGTGGTTTCGTTCCCAGTTGCATGTTTTTCTGCTGTCGTTTACAGATTGGAGTACAGAGGCAGGCCCCTCTTGTTTCTGCACTCTTCGGTGACTTAAATTTAAATTCTGTCTCTCTCTGATGATGTCATTCCCAGGTCTGTCCTTTCTGATGATGTAAGTAACTGAACTAGCTGGTTTTAAAGATGTCACTGATTCTACAGCCAGTTGTTTTTGTTGCGTTTTCCGCAATTCACAGTTTTCCATCCCAAGTTGTGTTGCCCCATTGGCAATTATGCTTTCCATTGCCAAGGCCTGAAGCTCTGAAGTTCCCTTCCTAAGTGCATCACCTCTCCATTTCAAGTTCCCACTAGGACGCTACCACTTTGTCCAAGCTTTAGCTCTATACTCTGAAAAGTTCTTTGTGGATTTGATTTCCTCTTCTTTTTACCCAGCAGTGTTATCACGTAAAACCAAATCACGGTGATTTTTTTTGTTTTTGTTTATAACTATCAGCCTTCACAAGTAAAGCACTTGTGTGGCCAGTTGGATATTTACAAATGAAGCCCATTACAGGCCAAGCAAAATATCAAAATTGAGGAAGGGGTAGGGAGGATATTAGGTTTTATGAGGGCCTAAGCAACTGGGCTCAGAGCTTGACAGAATTTAAATCCCCAAATGCATATGAAAAAGTCTTCTGTATATCCTGCTTTTTTTGTTAAATGTTAAAATTATCACTGTTTATTGTATTTTTAATAAACCAATTGCTTTTGATATCAGTGTTCAAAGACAGCAAACTTCAACTTTCTTCTCTCCCTTGTGTTTTTTTTCACTTGTGTCTTTTTCTTCATCTGCCAGCGGCCCAGAGTAGAGGCAGCCAGCAGTGGGGGAGGGTAGCCAGTGGCTCAGAGCGGAGCGAAGACAGCCAGCGGGCCCACAGTGGACCGGAGACTACCAGTGGCCAGGAGTGAAACGGGGACAGCCAGCAGCCCAGAGCGAAGCGGGGAAGGCCAGTGAATGGACGGCCAGCAGCCCAGAGCGAAGCGGGGTCAGTAGCCAGTGGGCCCAGAGCAAAGATGGCTACTAGTTGGGAACTGGTGGAGCCAAGTCACACCTCTTGGAAGCCCTTATAGAAAGATTGCAATGTCTATCTTTTAGCTTTATTTCTTATTTTCCTAACTTATACAATGTATATTGGTAACTACTTTTTTTAATTTGTTTATCTTTTGTTGCTAAGATTTGTACCTAGGTACTTGTACCTAAAATGGCGCCGTGTTTTGGCGACATTGTACACTTTTCACTGTACTCCTGTTCTTTTTGTAACTTGAGTACATGTGACAATAAACCTAGTTCTAACCCTGCAAAGTTCTTCTCCCCCATCTGGGGGCTAGTGCTAAAATTGGGAAAGCTGTCTCACAGACTAGTCACCCAACAGCCTGACAGAGTCATACTTGCAGAATCATATAGGCAATGTCCCAAACACCACTATCACCAGCCCTGATGTGTCCAGTCCCACTGGCAGAACAGACCCAGCAGACGTAGCAACACAGTGGTGTAGAATCAGGAGGGAGTTACTCTGGGAGTCCTCAACATGGATTCCAGATCTCATGAAATCTCATGGTTTCAGCTTAAACATGGTCAGCTTAAACCTCCTGCTGATTACCATATACCACCCTCCCAAAACGAATGAATCAGTACTCCTCCATGTTGAACAACACTTGGAGGACGCACTGTGGATGGCAAGGGCACAGAACGTACTCCAGTTGGGAGATTTCGATGTCCACCAACAAGAGTGGCTCAACAGAAGTACTTGTGTCTCAAACTCGATTGAGTTTTTTGAGGAAGTAACCAAGAAGATTGATGAGGGCAAAGTGATATACATTGTTTACTTGGATTTTAGTAAAGCTTTTGACATGGTTCCACATGGTGGACTAATTAGTAAAGTTAGATCACATGGGATTCAGTGAGCATGCCAATTGGATACAAAATTGGCTTAACAGCAGAAGACAGTGATGGTGGAGGGTTGTTTCTCAGACAGGAGACTAATGACCAATGGTATTCCACAGGGATCGGTGCTGGGTCCACTTTTCTTTGTCATTCATGTAAATGATTTAAATGAGAAAATATAAAGCATTGTTAATAGGTTTCCAGGTGACACCAAGATTAGTGGTATAGTGGACAGTGGAGAGGCTATCTAAGAATACAAAGAGATCTTGATCAATTGGGTTATTGGGCTGAAGAGTGGCAGATGGAGTTTAATTTGGATAAATGTGAGGTATTGCATGTTAGTAAAACAAACAAAGGCAAGACTTATCCAATTAAAAGTAGGGCCTTGAGTAGTGTTGTAGAACAGAGAGACCTATGGGTTCAGGTACATAATTCTTTGAAGTTTGTATCACATATAGAATAGGGTGGTTAAGAAAGCATTTAGCATGCTTCCCTTTATTGCTCAGACATTTGAGAATAGGAGTTGGGACATTATGTTGAGATTGTACAAGATGTTGATGAGGCCGCCTCTAGAGTACTGTGTCCAGTTCTGGTCTCCCTGTTATTGGAAGCATATTATTAAGCTGGAGAGGGTTCAAAAGAGATTTACCAGGATGTTGCCAGGAATAGAGGGTTTGAGTTATAAAGAGAAGCTGGATAGGCTGGGACTTTTTTTCACTGAAGCGAAGGAGGGTCAGCACTGACCTTATAGAAGTTTTATAAACTAATGACTGGTATGGATCAGGTGAATGGCAGGAGTCTTTTCCCTAGGGTGGGGGATTTCAAGACTAGGGGACATATTTTTAAGGTGAGGAGAAAGATTTTAAAAAGACAAGAGTCTTTATTTTTACACAGTGGTTCATTTGTGGAATGACCTTCCAGAGGAAGTGATGCATGCAGGTGCAATTTCAATGTTTAGGAGACATTTAGATATGTATGTGAACAACAAATGTTTGGAAGGATATGGGCCAAGCACAGTCAGGTGGGACTAGTTTGGTTTGGTATAACAGACTGGTTGGTCTAAAGGGTCTGTTTCCATACTGTAGGATTCTATGACTGTGCTGATGGATCTGTGTCAGGTGCCAAAGGACATCACAAAGCGGTGGTCAGATTCTCTCTTATTGGAGAAAGTCATAGCCTGGCATTTGTGTGGTGTGGATGTTACTTGCCACTTTTTAGACCAAGCCTGGACATTGTCCGAATCTTGTTGTATTTGAACATAGACTGCTTCAGTATCTCAGGAATTGTGAATGGTGCTGAATATGATGCAATCTTTGGCGAACATCCCCACTTCTGACCTTATGATGGAAGGAAGGTCATTAATGAAACAGCTGAATGTGCGTAGGCCTAGGACGCTATCATGAGGAACTCTTCCAGAGATGTCCTGGAGCTTAGATGACTGACCTCCAACGACCATCTTCCAATGTGTCAGATATGACTCCGGCCAGTGGAGATTATCCCCCCGATTGACTCCAGTTTTGCTCTTGCTCCTTGATGCAACATCAATTTGACTATCCATTTGAACAAACGGTCAAATGCGGCTTTGATGTCAAGGGTTGCCACATTCCCATCATTTCTGGAATTTAGTTCCTTTTGTTCATATTTGAACCAAGGCTGTAATGGGGTCATTCGCTGAGTAGCCCTGGTGGAACCCAAACAGGGCATCACTGAGCAGGTTATTGATGAGCAGGACGTAGACTCCTAGAGTTATACAGCATGGAAATAGACCCTTCAATCCACCACCAATCCATGCCAAACATAATCCCAAACTAAACTAATCCCATCTGCCTGCTCCTAGCCCATATCCCTCCAAACCTCTCCTGTTCATGTATTTATCCAAAATGCAACACCTCATTTTTATCTAAATTAAAATCCATCTGCTATTCCTTGGCTATTGACACATTGAATCAAGGTCTCATTGTACTCTGAGATATTTACTGTGGAGAAGAGCATGGGAGTTAAAGCACTTCATTGGCCAACCTGCAGTCTTCTCGCACCTCACCCATGGCTATTGATGGTACAAATATCTCAGCAAAGGACCCAGCAATCTCTTCCCTAACCTCCCATAAAGTTCTGGGATAAACCTGATTAGGTCCTGGGATTTGTCCACCTTTATGCATTTTAAGACAACTAACCCTCCTCCTCTATCATATTCAAGATATCGCTATTTATTTCACGAAGTTCTCTAGCTTCCATGTCTTTCTCCACAGTAAATACTGATGTGCAATACTTGTTTAATATCTCCCCCATCTCCTGTTGTTCCACATATAAATGGCCTTGTTGATATTTTCTCTCTATTAATAACTATTCTCTCTCTAGTTACTCTTTTGCCCTTAATGTATTTGTAGAATCTCTTTGGATTCTCCTTAACCCTATTTGCCAAAGCTATCTTATTTCCCCACTTTGTCTCCTGATTTCCCTCTTAAGTATATTCCTACTTCCCTTATACTCCTATAGGGATTCACTCAATCCAGCTGTCTATACCTGAGATATGCCTCCTTTTTCTTGACCAGAGCCCCAATTTCTCTAGTCATCCAACATTGACTACACCTACCAGCCTTGGTCTTTGCACTAACAGAAACATACTGTCTCTGAACTCTTGTTATCTCATTTTGAAGGCCTCCCGCTTACCAACTGTCCCTTTACCTGTGAATAGCCTCCTGCAATCAACTTTTGAAGGTTTCTGCCTAATACTGTCAAAATTGACCTCACTCCAATTTAGAACTTTAACTTTTAGATCAGGTCTAACCTTTTCCATAACTATTTTAAAACTGGTAGAATTATGATCACTGGGCACAAAGTGCTTCCCCCTGCTGATACCTCAGCCATTTGCCCTGCCTTATTTCCCAAGAGAATTTCAGTTTTGCTCCATCTCTAGTAGGTACATCCACATGTTGAATAATTTTCTTGTACACATTTAACAAAGACCTCTCCTTCCAAGTCCTTAACACAATGGTAGTCCCAGTCTATGTTTGGAAAATTAAAATCCCCTACCATTACAACCCTATTACTCTTACAGATATCTGAGATTTCCTTAGATATTTGCTTCTTCATTTCCTGCTGACTATTGGGGGGGCCTACAGTACAATCCCAATAGGGTGATCATCCCTTTCTTATTTCTTAGTTCCACCCATATAACTTGACTCTTCTCCCAGGAATATCCTCCCTAAGTACAGACATAATATTATCCTTAACCAAAATGCCGCTTCCCATCCACTATTGCCCCCACTTTCTATCTTTCCTATAGCATCTATACCCTGGAACGTTAAACTGCCAGTCCTGCCCCTCCCTCAGCCACCTTTCTGTAATAGCTATGAGTACAGTAGCTCAGTGGTTAGCACTGCTGCCTCACACCACCAGCAACCTGGGTTGAATTCCAGCCTTGGGCGACTGTCTGTGTGGAGTTTGCACATTCTCCCTGTGTCCGTGTGGGTTTCCCCCGGGTGCTTTGGTTTCGTCCCACAGTTCAAAAATGTACAGGTTAGGAGGATTGGCTGTGCTAAATTTCGCGTAGCATCCGGGAATGTGTTGGTTAGGTGGATAATCCATGGGAAATATAGGTTAAGGTGGTAAATCTGCGTGGGATGCTCTTCAGAGAGTCACTGTGGAGTGATTGGGCTGAATGGCCTGTTTCCGCACTGTAGGGATTCTATGAAATTCTATCCCAGTTCCATGTTCCCAACCATGCCCTGAGTTCATCTGCCTTACTTGTCAGGACTCTTGCATTGAAATAAATCCAGTTTAATTTATCAGGCTTACCTTGTTCTCTGCCTTGCTCTTGCCTACCT